TGAAAGGACACAACGCTAATGCAACCTCACCTCACCCAAGCCGTGGCATTTTGAATCACCTCGTATGGATGCGAAAGCTAGACCATGAACAAGGAAGACCAAGGAACTAATGCCTTTGAATTGTGGTGTGGGCAGAGAATACTGAATAAACCATGGGCCGGTAGAAGAATGAACGGATCTGTCGTGGAGGAAGTATGGCCAGAACGCTCCTTCAAAGCGAGGATGGCCAGACTTGGTCTCGTGTACTTCGGACATGTTATCAGGAGGGAGCAGTCCCTGGAGAAGGACATCATGCTTGGTCAAGTAGAAGGTCAATGAGAAAGAGGGAGACCCTCAACGAGATGGATGGACACAGTGGCTGCAACGATAGACTCAAGCACAGCACCACCATTACCACCTTTAAAGAGTTTCAGTTTTTCAAGCCTGTGCTTACTTCTTCGATGACATGTGTGGAGGCAGCTGGCAGGGCCACAGTTTGTGTGGAGGGCTGCTTCCTTCCTCAGAGCCCAGTCACCCCAGCCTTGGCCCTGATAATAGGCTTTATTTACATTGCAAAACGCAGACAAACATGCACTTGCTTCATCTGCATTTTTGTAGCTGGAAAATGGAAAGAAAAGCAGCAGCTCTGAGGCCTGTGTTTCCTGAGCATTCCAAGTGGGCAACGTAAGGACTGACTTCCTCCGGGTCTCGTCTGACCAGGTGCCGGTAGAAGTTAACGGACACTTAGTCCACTTGGAGTGGCATTGTCGTAATTTGAGGGGCAGGTGTGAAGCCTGCTGAAGACTTAAAGGGATCGGAGGTTAAGAATTAACCCCACAACATACTTACTTTAATTTGTAGCAAGAAATTTTACCACGATTAGAGAAAAAACACACTAAACTCCCCTTCATGGCCCCTGGGTGGTGCAAACAGTGAACATGCTCAGCAGCTAACTGAAAGGTGGGTGGTCCAAGTGCACCTAGGGGTGCCTCAGAAGAAATGCCTGGCAATATACTTCTGAACGGTCCCAGCCATGGAAACACTACAAAAAAAGAAAAAAAAAAAAAAA